CTTTGCTACAAATGTATTAAAAAGCACAGTTTTTATACTCGGATTGTGGGAGCAAATCACTCACTGCAGCAAATTCTAAGAAGCAGTGACCATAACCCAGGAGTTAATCCAGGCTGTGCTTCTAGAAAGGACTCAGTTGCCTCCAGCACACTCCTCGCCTGGGAAGCCAGTCTGGGCAGTGGTGGGAAGGGCTGCTGGGAGTGCCCTTTCCACCTCTGTCCCTTCACATCCACCTACTCTTCCCAGCCTGGTGACAGCTGACCCCCACTCCCAGAACAAGGGAGAGCTGTCCCAGCAACAGGCCAGTCCCCCCGTGTTCTCTCCCACCCCTTTCACTGCAGGAAGAGATCACGGGTACCTGTCGCTGTGCAGGTAAATGCCACCCGCTGCAACTATCACTTAAAATGGCTTAAAATAGCTAACTTTTCTACTCTTTCCAGTGAAACAAAAGAGGTGGGAGGGGAGAAGAGAGGAGGAAATAAAGAGGTTACAAAAAGAAAGAGGGAGGCTGCGGCAGCACAGAAATGACAAATGAGAGTTGAAAGGACAGAGTCCTGGAGTCCCCGGCACATGCCAGAGGAGGCTCAGTGGATGAGAGCCCGAGGTGTTCTGGCAGGCCACTGCAAAGGATGGCCAGAAAGACTGTGGCCGTGGAGTGTGGGGAACCTTGGTGTCCACAGCTAGCCCTTGATATAGTTCCTCCTGGTCTATCGCAAGAACCCAGTTCCTATCAGACGAATGGATGATTGGGTGGCTGGGGGATGCATGTGTGAACAAATGGATGGATGGATGGATGGATGGATGGATGGATGGATGGATGGATGGATGGACGGATGGACGGATGGATGGATGGACAACTGACAGATGGAATCTCCTCCAGAAAGATGAGATGAAGCCCAGGGCCAAAATCGACTGTGCACTGGAGATCTCCCCACCCACCGGAACTGGAGGACAGTAGACATACACAGCCCCAACAGTGCTGGGCTGTGGCTATGGAGTGGGCTGCAGGTGTAAACTCCAAAGACCCCAAAAAGGACCCCAGGAACAAACCAGTCCTGAAGTTCAGATTCCCTACCCTTGACTAGGGAGACCCTTCCTGCTGGCTCCCCAGCCTCAGCCCCCAGCACACCGCAACCCAAACACCCACTGCTGCAAGCCACCACGCGCAGGCCTCTGAACACTGTGCTCTCTGGCCCCTCTCTCCTACCCACCTTGGCTATGGGACTAATGAAGGTTCATTCCTGCAGACCCAGCCACAGTGTCACCTACCCCAGGAAGCATGACTCACACTCCCGTCCTCGGTGCTCTCACTGGATCTGGTCACACCTGTTTCACAGGCAGAGGACTCTGTTTACACCTCTGTCCTCCCACCTAGCTAGGAGCACCATGAGGGCAGGACAATAGCCTGTGTCCAGCATCGAGTCTGGCACAGCACGGGGCTCACTGCATGCTGGAGAAATGAAAGAAGGAATCCATAAGCTCCTCCAGAACAGAGACAACTCCAGCATCCATGGGCAGCTTGCCAGGAGCACGGCCTCTGCCCTTGGCCCCTCCCAGCAGCTATCCCCTCGGGCACCTCAGGAATTCCACAGCCCTAGAGCGAAGAGAGAACACCCACATCCCCACTTGCCCAGGCTGGGGTTCAGCTGACAGGCTACATGAGAACAGAGCACCATTGGTGGTGTCACTACCCCCAGAAGCCTCCCTTAGCAGCCAGCAGTCCAGAGAAGCGCTGAGGTCACTCAGGACAAAGGCTTCACTCCCTCCCCAGGTAGAGGGCTCCTGACTGCAGCACCAGACACCTCAGGGTCCACCCCAGAGCAGGACAGCCTTCCTGCTGGTGCAAGAGTTCCCTCCATGGCCTGTGCCATCACCAGCCCCAAGGGCTACCCAGGGTGGGCTCCAGATCTGCAGTCACAAGACCAGATAGCTGCCACCCCTGAGCTCAGTCTCCCCAAGGGGGCCTTCTAAAGATAGTGCACTGATGTGCAGCTGTGAAGACTGTGATGAAAAGACCTCAGGGAAGGGGTGTGGAATAAAGACTGAGCAATGGAAGGAAAGGGGATCTGGAGGGGGGCTGTTACAGGAGCCCACAGGGCCCCCCAGGCAGGCCCCAATACCTCAGCCTATTGCACCCTCCCACCCTTCCACCCACCACCAAGTCCAGGCTTCCCAAACCTGTGGGCCCAGCAAGGGTATCCCCCATGAAGTGGGATCACAGACCAGCTGGTGGTGAATGGGCCCCCAGGCCAAGCCCCCCACAATTAATGGATATGTCCTGGATGCTTGGAGAAGCAGCAGCCCCCAGTATAGGCCATGGACAGCCTGGTGGTCCCAGGCAGCCAAGTCATGTCATGCAGAATCTGTCACTAATGACAGTGTTAAGAGTCAACCTTCCTAACCATTCGCATGTAGCAAAATATGAAAGGTTCCAGCAAAGCCATCTTCCTCCCTCACTCCCGTCAGCCTGGCTTTTCCAGTGGGGAAGGGGAGCAGTTACAGCCAGGAGGTTGCATACCCATCTTCTCCACAGTCACCGGCTGCCCTGATTGGGCACGAGCACATGTCCTCAATGGCAGTGGGTGGTGAGGCATTCCCACCCGTAACAGTGTTTTGAGTTTCATAAAATTCAGGGCATCTCCTGGCAGTGGGTCACCCCTGTGACTATTGTCCTTCCTTGTCACAACAAAGAAGAGGCTGTGTCAGTGTAGAAGCAATGCATTCCGGTAGTGGACAAAGCTTTCCTGCTGGGATGGCTTCCCCAGGCCTAGCCAGCCACAAGGTCATACAGGCCATGTTCACCTCCAGGGTCCAGATTCCTTCCCTTATGCACTCAGTAGACGCACTGAAGTTCTTTCAGCATAAACACCGTAACAGCCTCTGGCAGACCCTGGACCATACTTTCTCCCATGAGGCCAGCATAGCCCTCTTTGCCCACTATGCTCACTGCAATGCCTTGTGGTTCCTGTGGCCATCCCAGCAGCAGGGCAGTGGGGCCTCGAGAGGGTCAGATTTGGACTTGAATCCTGTCCAATCCCCTGGTGAAGACTTACATGACCCTACACAGGTCCTTTAACTTCTTCAGCTTCAGGTGCCTCATTTGTAAAGGGGGGGCTTAGAGGATGGCTATGGTGGGCACCCCAAAAATGATGGCATCCCTACGCCCAGTGGCAGGCGCATGGGACCAGAGACCAAGACTCTGACCAGATGGAGCTGACAGCGGTGAAGCCCCGGTGCTGTCTTTCCCCACAGTCTCCAGCCACTCCTGCCCAGGCGGCCACCCCAGGGCCCCCCAGCTGCGCAGCCCCGAGCAAGGCTTTGCACTCGCGGTGCTGGGGAAGGAGGAGGCAGCCCGCCAAAGCCAGCCAAGCGCACCCAGCACGGGGGGAGTTCGCATAAGGCGCCACTTGGAAGTAGCATCTCTGGGCCACCCTTGGTTACTGTTGAATCCTCAGGGCCTAGGGACAGAGGACGGCTGGATTCTCCGGAAAGGCTGTGATGAACGTGCACAGTGAAATGAACGGGTGCCTGGGAAGCCACATGCCACACGCTTACCGCATCTGTCACCTCTGTCATCTCTATGTGACAGATGAAGACACTGAGGTCACAAAGGTGAGGCACATTGCCCAAGGCCATGAGTAGGGGGAGCCAGGGCTTGCCCCAAATTGTATCCCTCTCAAACCATGTTCCTCCCACTTCCAGGCCTAACAGCAGAGCAGGAACAAGGAGGAGAGGCAGTAAGGAGAGCAGGCGAGGGACTGGCGAGAAAAGAGGGAGCCAGCTGACGGCAGAATTAGCCACCATCACGGGCGCCAGGTCTGGCTGGGGACTGAGCCAGGAGAAACGCGTCCCTAAGAGCAGACTCTGCTGGGGCCACCCTGAGAACGCTTGGGCTGCCGGCCCGGCGAGGGCCCTCACACAGGAGATGTGCGCTGGTGCAAACACGAGTGCCCACAGGACGTGGCAGCCGGGCTGACCACCAGCGCCACCCGCGCCCGACCAGCGGGAGAGCAGGGCTGCGGCCAACTGCGCCGCATCACACACTCCAAACTCACTCTCTCCGGCAGCCGTCGTGCTGGCTCCTGATACGTGAGGCAGCTTCTGAGTAATAATCAACTCGAGGGGAGGCATACTAAGCAAGCAGAGGACATCACAGGGAATTAGCATAACTTCTGCCTTTCACTTCACTTTACTTTCAGTCAGAGAGAGCCGGCAAGGTGACGGGCGGGAGGGGAACCACAGGGACAGTCACCACCCAGCACCCCTTCAGTCTGCCCCTGCTCCCCAGCATACTACACCCCAGCATGTCCCCTGCCCCTAAACCAACCCAGGCCACAGAGAAGCCCACAACTCCAGCTGTCATCTCTCTACGATTAGGCCACCAGGACTGGCACCAACTAGCCAGCTCACAGAGCATTTCTAGTTGTCTGTCTTAAAATTAACGGATTTTTGTTAAAGGCGTGAGCCCTGTCTTCATGAGAAGGTCCTAACCCCTCATATGGGTGCTTAAAAAAAGCACTGATTAGCCCAGGCACCAAAAAACTAAACACGTACACACCGTATACACCGCGTATCGCTACATGTTACATGCAACCAACACTTCCTCCAGGTGCTGACAAACCCAAGGCAGAGCTGCCCACCTCTGCAGAGAGCTGGGAATTTATTTTATCCCTAGAGGCTTACACTTGTCAACAAAGAGAGGAAAATTAAAAAGAAAAAAATAATAGCAGCCTGAGTTTTGCTCCGAAATCTCTGGCAGTGACCTGTACACAGGCTCTCACCAGCTGCCCCCCACCTCCCAGCACCTGGGCAAGTCTTGGGCCATGTGTTGGGGGCTAGTCAAGGGCCAAGTTGCGCTCCATCTCCCCCTTCCTGCCGTGTGCTGTGATCCCAGCACCCACGGGTTCCCACGTTTCGGCCACGCACGACAAGCAGACTATGCCCGCAGCCCACCCGAGCCATGTGTGCAGCCACTCCTGTGGCCACGGGCCACCACCTACCTCATTGATGAAGGAGTGGGCCCCCTGTGGGCTGAGCAGCAGGATGGCACGGCGTAGTGTGTCCCGGTAGCGATTCAGCTCCTCCGTCTTCATCGTGGTGAACAAGCTGGTGAACACGTGGCTGATGTTCTTGTCCACCTTTTGTAAAGAGACATCAAGGCCCAGTCGAGAGGCCTGGTCCAGAAAGCTTTGGAGACCACGGATATCTGAGTGGTGGGAGAAGAGGAGGGGGAGAGAACATCTTTAAGTGGAAAGGGACCGTGGGAGGTCTAACTCCAACATTCCCCACCCAGCAGAGGCCACCACCAGAAGTGAGTGCTCAAGTCTACCTCAGTGGTCCACTGAATAGAGTTTGGAAGACACGGATCAAGTCCCAACACCCTCACCAGCATACAGCCCCAGGTGTGTCTTGCACTATGGGGGGGACTTTCTGCCATCCCACAGGTTCTGTGGCCAGAAAGTGCCCTCACAATAACCTCCCTGCCTCTCCCTATTGCTTTCACCCAATGGAAGTGAAAGTCCTGGCAGTTCTCTCCTCGTGGCTACATGTGCTGTGGTCCCTGGTCCTGGTCCCTGGCTCCCTCCGGCTCCCTCCTGCTCCCTCTGCTCCCCACGGTGGAGGCCCCTTAACCCTCAGTGGTGATCAAAGGCCACTGGATGCCCTGAATGAAGCAGGCCCAGCCTCAGTCCCTGCCTTACACCCCATATCTGAGGCTTGGGACCCTGTCTTGTTCCCAGGAGCTGACTTTCCTGGATGAAACACCCCTTGACTCTCCTTCCAGCTGGGGTGACTCTTCTCCCAAGTCCAACAGGTGAGCAGATGGTCCAGAATGGTCCACCGAGTGCCATCTTGGCACTTTGGTACAGCACCTGGGAGAGAGGCCTGCTCTTTCCCCCGTGGTTACTGTGAGAGCAGGATGTGAGCCCAGGGCAGGAGAGAAGCAGGAGAAGCCTCCTCTTGTGAGGGCCAGAGCCCAACTCTTCTCTCAGCAGCCACCCTATAAAGGCTACCTGCTTCCCCAAAGAGAGATATGCCCAAGAAAGGAGCCAACACAGAGGCAAGCAGGCCCCAGAGGGAGACCTGGCCTCAGTGACCTCACGTGGGCGTCTGGGTCCACCTGTGTCTGAAGCCTGTCTCTCTGGACTTTCCAGCTCCATGAGCCGAAGTCAAGTTCAGCTGGATTTCTGTCACGTGCAACCCAAAGTCTCAACCATAAGCCACTTTTTCAAAGCCTGGGATGGTTCCTTCATCTGGCCCATATCTGCATCCCAGCTCCCAAAGACAAGACCCACACCTAAGCCATGCCCTCCAAAGGACACTCTGGGCCTGCCCAGGTCTCAAAGCTGCACTCTCCTGGCCCTGGGACACCACGGCTGCCACAGCATACACTGGCCCAAGAATCAAATCAGAGCAAACAGTGCTAATTCAACCAGGTTTTTCCCCAACGAGATTCTCTCCCAAACGTTCACTCCATGACCATTCCACAAACTTCCAGAGCCCCAGGTGCCAGGCACTACAGAGTGCTGCGGGTTCCCTGTCTCAGCAGGCACTGTAGAGTGCTGCAGGGGGGCCCTGGGCTGCCTGTCTCAGCAGCAAGTCTAGTCCCAGCTGAACATGAGGAGAGGAGTCATGGAGAAGCACAGACAGGGAAGGAGGAGGCAGAGCCCTGGGCGTCCTGACTCGGGTGCTGGGGTCAGTGCACAGGCCCCATTCCCCACCCCAGGGGAGAGCCTTGATAATAGGTTCTGAGACCTGCCATGGACTCCACACTTCGAACACAGTATCGTTCTGAAAACACTCAGGCAAATCACACATCCACTTCGGGCCTCGTTTTGCTCACCTGTCAACTGGAGACAAAGTCACTGACTAACATTTTCACAGGACTGTGAGGAACCACATTCTTGAAGGTTCTACCTGCTTATGCTTAGAGGCCTGCACCTGGGAGGCCCAGAAAACCCATCTCATGATCCACGGGGAGGGCACGGCAGCACCCCAACCAGAGCCCACCTGGAGACGGCAAACACATGACTGACATTCAAGCCAGTGGCCCCCGTGTTCCAGCGTAGCCATGACCTCAGCCAGCATCATCCAAGGCAGTCTGGCTCCTGGGAAGCTTGCCTGGCAGAGCACAGCAAGCTCAGTGTTGCTCTGCCCACTGACTCAGAGAGAAGGCACCAGGCAGCAGGATGGGCCTTCTTCACCCAAAGCTGCCAAGTGAAGGAAGGTGATGACAGAAGACCACACAGTGCCCTGTGCCTGCCCCAGTACCCGTGCTTCCAACACACCCCTAGATTCCCAGAGAGCCATGCAACCCCCACGTCTGCCCCTGGGGACCTGTAGCCCCAGGGCCTCTCAAAAGAATAGTTTGAAGAGGCTCTCCAGAGCCTCTCTGCTGGTCAGAGGGCAATGCCAGGCAGGCTGCAGAAATGGCTCAGGGAGCAGAAGTGCAACCAGGGGGGGAACCCCCCAACTAGAACAACTCACGGCTGGTGTCAGCCCCGCCCCTCCCTCCCCTGAGCACAGCACAGCTCACAGCTGCTGACTATAAGCTTGAGCATCTCAGCACCAAGCAGCCATCCATGCCAACCAGCTCCTGTGCCAGGCACGCAGCAGCACACAACCAGTACCCACGATGCCTTCTTCCTCGACCTGGCTGCCTGACACAGCAGCCACTCACCACATGGGCTACTGAAATGCACACTTAGAGTCATTAAATGAAATAAAATCACACCCAGTTCCTCAGCCACACTAGCAGGGTTTCAAGTGCTCAAGAGCCACGTCTGGCCAGTGGCTGCCACGTTGGGCAGTGCAGACACGGTCATCGCAGAGAGTTCCCCTGCCTGGTACTGCCTGAGAAGCCGGATTTCTGCCAGTCCAGTGCAAACGATGTTCCCAAAGGTGGGAGCTCAGCTGCATCTGGGCCCCTGGTAATGGCCTCCCTATTTCCATGCCCCTCACCTGTCACTATGAAGACCCTCCCAGTTCCCACTGTGGGCTTTGCCAGAGGACCTGCTCTGTCCCATGAGACAGTTGTACCGTGGCAGAAGCAGCGGTTTGAATAAATGTCTATGCATGTCTGTCTCTGCTCCTGGCCCCTGCCACTGCCATGAGAGCACCCGGACTAGCTGCTGGGGGTGTGAACGCACATGGAGATGCAGGGCGGCCCTGCGCACCCCCGGCACGTGCCAGCCCTATTCAGACGCACAGGCGAGTCCAGAGCAAAACTGCCCCGGTGACCTATAGGCATAGAAAAGATAAACGCCTGCTGCCCCACGCCACTAAGTAATGGGATGATTTCTTCCCCAGCAGTAACAAACTGATCGACTAAGTTCATCGGATGCAGTATGTGTTTCCATACCACTGCCCAGTGGGGCCGAGTGGGAGCCAGTCCCAGGCAAAGCCACTGGTGGCTCCAGCAGCCCTATCCCATTGCCTGGACACCAACGTTCCTCATACCCAAGGCCTGGGCTCTGACCCAGATCTGAGCACAGCAGGCAGAATGGTGAGAGCCCCTGGGACAGGCAAGAAGGTGGCACTCTGTGAGACATGCCATCTACCAGCCTCACTCCTCTTCCAGGACCTTCCAAGGTCATGGTCCTCAGAGTGGCAGAGACCGGCTGGGCCTGCGCAGGTGCACGTGCCCAGGGAGGCTCCGCAAGGCTCTGTGTGCCTGTCATGGCTGCAGGACTGCAGATCATGCCACCGTGGCCAGTCCTCTCAGGCTGGGAGAGAAGTCCCTTCAGTCCTTGCCCTGAGGTCCCCTGCCTAAAGCTATCTCAACCCAAAGGAATGTCCCATGTCCTTGGGGAATAGGCGGTGCCAGGGTTGGGGTGGGGGTGACCAGTGTCTCCCCCTGCTTGCATGCGCAGGAGACCCAAGCTCTGGGGGCTCCTGCGTGTCCTTGGCTGCTCTTTCCCCTTCTTTCCAGACAGCCCGACGGAGCCAGCACAGAGAGCTGAAGCTCCCTGTCAGCGGCCAGAGCTTCACACTTACAAAAAGGGATGCGGGCTGAGGCAGCGCTCCGAGAGACCACAGACCTGGCACAGCCACTTGTCCTGCTTGGCTGAGGTCAGCTATCAGCCTCTGAAGCTCTTACTTGGCTGCACGTGGGGACGGCTGGGGTCAGAACAACAGTCAAGGCTAACTTTGGGCCCTCCTGCCATTCCCACAAATGGAGCCAAGGGAACCTGCGTCTCCAAGGAAAATCCCTTTCTTCTTACAACAGGCTCAGTTTGCAATGCCACTCTACCCCCAAGAAAGCCAGCTGCTGTTCCCCAGGAAAAGAGAATTCTCCATGAAGGCAAATTAGAGAACAGAGCTGGGGCTGCTCCCATGGGCAGAAGAGTGGGTACCCTGGTAGCCCCCCTGGCCCCCACAGAGCTCTGGACCCTGGCCCAGGCCCTCCCCTATGCAGGTTGGCTGGCCCAGGCCACCATGCTGGTGCAGCCCCAGCCAGACCCACTGCACTGGGGAGGAAGCTGCTGGAGCCACATGGGCCTGACAGCAGCTCCATTTCCGAAAGGGCAGAAGAGGAGGCAAGAACCATGAAAACAGGCATCGGCCACCCCCAGAACAGGGAGCAGCATCCTGCTCCCCAGGAAAGGGGTCAAGCTCAGGGGACATAGGCAGGTCCATTTCCATGAAGAATCTGATGGGACAACGCCAGGGACAGGCCTGTTTCCTTGGCCCATCCTCTGGGCTCTCAAGGGACCCTGTCACTGGGCATCTCTGCAATACCCAAACCCGGCCAGGGTGTCCTGTGAAGGCGCATTCACTCCGCTTCTCCAGCATCCCCTGAGCTTTCTCCGCACGGCCCTCTCCCTCTCCGCAGGGCTGGGAAACAGGAGCGGATGGGCGCAGAGTTCCTGCTGCCACAGAGCCTGCATCTCAGGGGCTGCAGCACACACAGAACAAATAAGCACGTGCTAAACAGATCATTTCCAACAGCGCTCAGCTCTGAGGAGAATGGATGCTGGGCTGGAGGAAACTGCGGGTGGGTGGGAAAGGCTCCTGTGAGGAGAGCAGGGACAAGGCCACTCTGGAGCCTCAGCACCTGAGACACCAACAAGGGAGGCCTGGACGTGAGCTGCCGCAGAAGGAAGCGGGGGCGCAGGCACCGGGGGGAACAGAAGACACAGGCTCCAGGTGCCCAAGCCCTGGGCCTCCTCTGCCCTGTCTCAGCTCCCCCCACAGACCAGCTCCTAA